CATCGAAAATGACTTTTTCTCTCCAAAATTTCTTCGCTATGTTGGAGAACTTTTTGATGCCTTATTTCCCACTGATTCGTACGGCTTAAGTGTCATAAAACTAGCAGGTGTGAGGTAGTACCCATTTACGTTATTTCGTATGAAAGGAAATCCGTCAGGATAAATATTATATATTGGTGGAAAATAACCTTTTTTCTGCGTTAATTTTATGTTCAACAATTTTCAAACTTTCCTCATTCTTGTTGCAAAAAACAGAAGCAAATAACAGAAGCAGATGGTCTGCTGTGAATATTACAAAAGTAGGTTTATATCGTGATAGCAATGCTCCGGTGGAAAATTATTATAAAATTTTCAAGCATTATAAATTTGCACACAAGAAGAGAATACCTGCACCAAGATTTATAATGCAGAATTTCGAATTCATTAAAGGAAATTTGAAGGAACGGAAGTTTACATTGAAAACCACGAGACAAATTAAAAAACGGAATAAAGACTACGATAATCCCGTAGAAAGTTGGAAAAGGCTACAGAAAAGACATAAGCAACAGATTCCTTAAACATAATAAGTTCATTGCTGGTAAGCCTATGTTTACGCCAGAGCTATTAGAACTAGCTAATGCTTCTGAGGTCCAAGATGAATCATCGTTGTCCGCGTCGTTAAATGTACTAAATAATGACAATAGCATCAACATTTCATCTGCTTCTGTTATTTGCAACAAGAATGAGGAAAGTTTGAAAATTGTTGAACATAAAATTAACGCAGAAAAAAGGTTATTTTCCACCAATATATAATATTTATCCTGACGGATTTTCTTTCATACGAAATAACGTAAATGGGTACTACCTCACACCTGCTAGTTTTATGACACTTAAGCCGTACGAATCAGTTGCAGAATATCTCAGCGATGATGTTATTAATGCATTTTTTCAGTGCATGCAATGTGAGGCTGAACAACAAAATTTTGATTTACTAGTCTTTGACACAATGTTTTGTGAGAGCATTTTAAAAAGAGGCACTATCAGCTGCGGGTTTAAGAAGTGGGGTACAATGTTTCATGCATGGACAAAAGATGCTTGGTTAATTCCAATGAATTTTTCCAATCATTGGACATTGCTACTGGTATTACCAAAACAGAAAGTTATAATATATTTTGACTCTCTTCATGGCAACCCTAACAATGTAATTATAAACGGAATATTGAAATTTATTAATATCAAATTAAATGTTGTCTGGCAAGATTGGACGTTGCATATGCCGAATGACATACCATCTCAAATAACTGTTGAAATCGGTGGAAATACTAACGCTGGGGGTAACTGCGGCGTCCGTATTTGCAGCTGGGCATATATCATTGCAACGGGAAGAATGGAGCATTTTAAGGAAGAAGATATGAACAACGCAAGAAAGGGAATTGCGACATATATTGCTGAAGCTACAAATGAATCAAAAAAAGAAAAACGGAGTGTCAAATCAAACGTCCTATTATTAGAGAATAAAGATACGAATTGCCCAAAGAACTCCAATCCAGAAATATTAATTACAAAATCCAAATCCTGTCCATTTGGATTTAATAATACTCTGGAATTATGCGCATCCTTAAATTTGATATTAACCAGCGATCAAAAGAAACCCACGACGCGAAACAGATGTAACGTCAAATGCGAATAAAATCGTTAGATATCAGAAATTATGACCGTATTCTCATATGTTAAAACTAGTATTAAACGTAATATTCAAAAATAAAAATAAAAACAAAAAAATTATAAAATTAAAAAAGAAAAAAAATATAAAACTAAAAAAGAAAAAAAATATAAAACTAAAAAGAAAAAAAAAGTAAAAAACCAATAACCCGAAACGTCCCCGTCGTTGGCCTTGGTTAATACTAATATCAGGTTGTTACTCGCGCGGACTATCACTTACATAACAGACGATCCTATAATCGGACTCTGGGCCAACTGCTTCAAATTATTTTATTTCATTATTTTTGAAAAAATTTCAAAGTGTTTCGGTTTCCTCATCACTCGTACTATTCACGAATTTTTCTGAAAGTCTACAACCATGCGTGTGACTTGCAGCCAATCTGGCTGTTATTAATTAATAATTTTTTAAATAAACAATGGGGCCGTGATGTTGAAAAGTACAAAGTATTTCGGTTTCCTCATGTCTCGTACTATATTCACAAATTTTTCCGAACGTCTACAGCCATGCGTGTGACTTGCAGCCAA